TGCATATACTGTCAGTCGCGGCATGCTGTGCGGTCTGATTCCTGGGGCCGTCTATTTGTTTTTATTGTTGAGGGTTCCCACACAGCCTTTCCTATACGAGGTGGCATACCTACCCACAGTCATGCCTCTCACAACTTTGTTATAGAAAACTTTGTCAGGCAAGGAATCGAATATTTAAAGTGATCCTCTCCGACTATACCGAACTGAGCTAGGGTTTAGGGTTTACTTTAGCGATGGAGGGTCTCAGAATTTGAGAACACTGGATCTAGGGTTTAGGATTTGGCCCGACCTCGTGGGCTCGAATTGAGAACACCGGAATTTCAGATTGTTCGAGGCAGTGAACAATAGTTCTTAGATTCACTTATTTAATTCTAGGCTAGATCACAATATGTATATTTAAATACATATGTATATTTAGCGTTTAGGGTTAGTAGCGGGTCAGAAAGGTAAAATGTAAAAAAATAAAATGAATATAAAATCAGCCGCACAATGTAGAGTGCAGAACATTTATTCGAAAACAATATCTGTAGAAGGGAAAATTAAAGCTGAAATGAGTTTAGAGAAGACGTCGGCAGCCCAACCTGCTATACTAGTAGGTGTGCCATCATCCACAAAATTAGAGGGCGAGTCGATGATTATAGACGTCGTTTCTATGGTATCTGAAACTAAGTCATCGTCCGCGTGTTGCTCGCGATCCCGATGTTGTACTTTCAAAATGAAGATCTTTTGGAGTGTGTTCACGTTCTTTTTCGTTGCGCTAGCAGTCGTTCTTGGTGTTGCTCTAGACGCTGTTCTAGCTCAGCCTGAGACAATCGAAGTGAATTTTGTTCAGGTAAACGCCAATGAAGAGCTTCCAACTGCTGAAGCAGAGTTTGTGTTGCTCGTTTCCAGCACCATGAGCAAGTTCGAACCCACGGGCATCAATTGCAACATAGAACAGTCGGGATGGGTATATGCAGATATTACAATGACGGCCGAAAACACGTATATTCTCAATGGTACTATTTCCAAAGAGGACTCCGAGTTGCATGCGGCTCTGATCTGGGATGTGCTCATGGGGCAGAGGGACGTTGGGTATTACTGGTGTGAGGTTGAGTTGTCCGTGCTTCTTGGTCACTTAATACCGTTGACGGCTTATCGGGCATTTGATTCAAACAACTATGATTTGGGAATATCGTCAACTGACCCAGAAGCTGCCCTAGCAGCTGCCCCAGCAGCTACGGAATCGGTCAATGAAGAATCCACAAAATCCGAGAGCGGTACAGAAAACGAGGAAGGGAGACAAGACCGGTTAGTAGTGGTAAACATCGACGAAACGATAGAACTTAACGTGGGTGTGGACATGCCTGTTATGGCTTTCCCAGTGCATCTGGTTTTACCCCCAGTGGTCATCTCGGCGCAAACAAACGCGAGTGACCAGGCCGTTGTTACTTTTAACGGTATGGATCGAAAGCTGGATGCGTTCAGTTACATACCCGTTAGCGCAAGCTGTAAAGGCGACTGTGCGTGGTACAAACCACTCATAGACGTTGTGACTGGTGCAGATGGCACTTTGGAGATCACGGTGGATGGAAATTCGAGTTTCTTAGAAGTGTTGTTGGGAAGATATCACGAAATTAAGGTCTCGCACGATACTGCCGAAACAGCTCGTAGCACAAACGCCAGGCGACAGGCAAGTAATATCTCGACTGGTGCAAAGTTAGATTGTTTGCGCGTAGAGGGTAGTGACATTGCGCTGTCGGCGTGTCTGAATCTTCTGGCTACGAGCGGGCTGGAAGCCTATGCGACGGTCGGAGTGTACGATTTCGAGGCAAGTGCTAGGGCAGATGCGTCGTGGAGATCGCTCGAAATGGGCTATGGAGTGGAAGCTGTAGCCACAGCTAAAGTGAGTATCGGAGATAGCGATGAGATGGACCTGAAGGGTAATGCGAAGATAGATTGGACGGAGGATGTAACAGTTAACGTTGTGGTGACCAATGATGCAGGTGCGTGGCCGTTGGAAGCCATACTACAGGGTTCGGGTAAGATTGATGGTGATGTATTGACGGTCAATATGCCAGTGGCTACCCTGACATTCCAGAATAATCAGATGGTAAATGCGATTGGAGAGGGTGTAATAGATGGAGACAAACAAATTTTTACTGCATTTATCCTGGACCCCAACCTTCAGGCAAAAATGGATGGTAAGCTAATAGACAAGAGAGTGATGGGGTCTGCTTCGCTAACGTTTAACGGCGACGACATCACAGAGATGGAACTGAGTGCCGAAGTAGTTACGGTAGAGGAAGGTGGCAATTTTATCTTCGACATCAAGGACAAAGGATTGTTGGATTTTGAGTTGTCTGGAAAGGGTGATCTAAATTGGAGCGAAAACAAACTAGTGGGCTCTGTACGGGACTTGTGGTTCAGGCTAGAGGGTACACGCTACGTTGATGCGGATGGGGACCTTATGATTGATATGGAGACCAGGGAGGTGTCTATCGCCGTTGTCGACGAGACTGTGGATACAGATTATTCGTTCAGAGCCCAGCTGATAGGGGCATGGCGGAATGACGAGTTTGGGTTCGGCGGATATATGTCGAAGGCCGACTTTTCTATTAATAAGAAGCCGTACGTGGCCTCTACCGCATCTTTCAGCTACCAATACCCTTTGAGCAGCGACAGATCAAATATTCTGTTGTGGGTGGAATCGAAGGAAGAGGCCCAGTTCCAGGTTTCCTCGGACATGCGTTTTGATTGGATTGTTGATACCGAAGAGTTGAAAACGGACTCTGCCACTGTGGTAATAGGCTATGGGTCAAAAACCTACGTGGATGCAATGGTCGACGTGTATGTGGGCATTCAAGCTACATTAGTCACTATCTCTGCTGTAGATACATATGATACAGACGGCCAAGGTTTCGAACTTAAGTTGAGGGGCAGTTGGGAGGAGGACGCTGATCTAAGAGTATCGGGGGAGGTGGAGACACTGCGCGTGGTTATGGACGGAGAGGAATATTTACAGGCCTTTGGGGACATGACTGTGGATATGTCTGACACCAGTATGAGTTGTTCAATGGAAGAAAAAGTGTCTAATTCACGCATATTGATAGTAGACGCTGGCTTGAATGTCAAAGAATATGTTTCTACTAGTGGTTCCTACTGTGATGGGATAGGCGAGGCAATTCAATACGAGTATTGTGCAAATAGTCCTGAGTGGTGCTCTCCTGGTAATGATGTTTATTATCCAGATGGTTATCGTTGCGCTGGTGAGTGGGAACAGATGGACGTATTTGCTCGTGGAGTTTATTTTGTCTTCTCGGGAGACAGATGGGTTGATGGCGAAATGAATTTCATGATGAATTTTTTTGATCGGCTTATTAAGCTTGCGGTGTCAAATGACACGCCTAAACTTTACATTGATACTGATATCAGTATTGACTACAACTAATTTAATATTAATCTCGGTGAAAAGAGCTGTAAACAGGCACTATAATACATCCAGACAACGGATTTTAAAAGCAAATACTTTCTTTTACTTATGATGCATAAAAAACCTCAGGTAATAAATGCCTTCAGTTAGTTTTTTTGGTTCGTTTCTCTTTTCGTAATAATTCAAGTGGCGATCGTTGCTAAGGACTGCGATTCTCAAGAAACTATTACAGGGGACTTTTTCTTCTTCTCTACTTTATTATTTTATTTTATGTATATATTGTATCTATGCAAAATGTATCCATGTATCTGTGTATGTTTATTTATCTGATTGTATAATATGCATGTATGTGTGTATGAAGTGTGTACATGTGTGTGCATCTATGTGTCCATACGTGTGCATATATATGTGTATGTATGTTTGTGCGTATGTACGTGTGTATACAAGTGTGCATGTGTATGTATATATATGTGTGTGCGTATTCATGTATTTGTAGAGGGGAGGAGATGTGTGTGTACATACCATGTTTGTATGTGCATGTATATTTGTGTGTGTTTGTGTATGTGTACACGTGTATATGTTTGTTTGTACATATGTATATGCATGAGCATGCGTATATGTGTGTTTTCCTTTTTTTATATGCGTATGTGTATGTGTATGTGCATGTACGTGTGTAGATTTATGCGGGTTGTATTTTTGTGTGCGTTGTGTATGTGTAATTATCAAATATATGCAGAGATATATGCAAATAAATATCATACATAGAGTTCGAGTATATGTATGTGTAGGTGTACGGCACTTGCCTGTCATACACGAGGGACGTTCGAGTGCAAATGTATATATATGTATATATGTGTGTGCGGGCTGTGTGCGTTGTATGGCTTGTGTGTACACGGTTACATGAACGCATGGATGTCATGAGCTCGAATGTGTGGTATGGCACACACATCTAAAGGAAGACGTACTAAACAGCTTGCATCACATGCACCCACGCTCGAGCGAGTACTCACATACACTACTCTGTACCTCTCTCACACAATCAAACAAATCAACTTCGTTCTCTCCCACACACAAATAAACATGTACTTTCTCTCTTTCTCTATCGTACACACACAAACAAACAATCGCATACTTTCTACCCACTCGCTAACAACCAAACTCACTTTCCCTTCCTATTCTCGTACACACATTCTCACTCACTCACTCAAACTCGAACACACACGCACACATACACACATGTATACAAATAAAATCTCCCACACGTCTAGCCACATATACACACGTACACCTGCACACACTAAATTTCACACTCAAGCACACAAAAAACAGAACACAATATCCATGCCAAGAATGACGTAAGTGGATGTAGATGTAGATGTACCAGTGCGTCTACGTGCTGTACGTGTGCGTCAATGCATATAGCGCTACTGGTGTTAACAAATGATGGTTTCGTTGGACCCTCGCAAGCAGGAAGACGATGCATGCGGACAAGTTTGTGAAAATGTGGATGCGCGAGGTTTTAGTATTTGTTAGTTGATTGTAACAGTTCGGACGTACGCCCTTTACAACTGCTCAAATGGGCGAGATGCTATGCGAGTTTGGCACTCGGAAGGGCCAAGTACGTTCGTCGCAGCAGTCATTAGAAGCATTGGAGGCAAAGGAAGCAAGCCTTACGGAACAAGTGAACGTCTTGGAATTACAGCTGCAAATGTTCAAATCTTTCAGGATTAAACCCTATCGGTTCGTGTGGTCCCTGGCTTTCTTGACTCGTAAGTAACCATGCACAATCCCCCACAGTCGCAATCCAAAGATGAGGAGAAGGAAGTCATCGTTCGAATCGACTCTGAGACTTATAAATATATATATGAAAATGATGCATATATATATATATATATATATATATATATAGTAAGTAGTATATATATATACTATATATATATATATACTATATATATATTATTATATATA